GCAAAGGACCAGCTTCAGTGCCTGTGCTGGTAACTTCTAGGATGCTAGGGACATGATCTTCTGGAGGAAGAAGCTCTAACTTCTGAATGGATGAATATTCCATTGGGAGCTTACAGAGCATTAATAGCTAATTACCTGTGGGCTAAAAATGGCTCCAAAGCAAACACATTGGACTCCTGTGGGAACAACAGAATATAGGACATGAGGCTCAGAACAGGGAATGTAGCCTGAATAGCTTCTCATCCTGGCCAGGAGAGGTTGTGAACCAGGCCCTCATCACCCCTTGTGACCCATGCTGAGGAGCTTAAGGAAACCCAGCTGGATCCTCTGTAGATCAGAACCAGGAGCTGAGGTTCTCCACATTGCCCAGGGGAGAAGCTGGGATCTGGTCAGACATGCACATCACACAAGGCAGAGAAGAGAGGGTTTTAGAGGGTCTTTGAAGAAAGACCTTCCTACCTGCTGGGCAGCACTAGTGTCCATCTCAGGGATCTAGTGCCTGGATCCTGAGGAGCCAGAGCCAGGCCCTTGTCAGCTAGGCAGTGGTGGTTTCTTGTACCACACTCTGGGGCTAAAGAGAGCTGCTCATACTACATCTTACACAGGGTGAGTTTCTCCTGGGCCTGCAGAAAAGATCAGTAAGGAGCAAGGAGGAGGTGTGGCCTGGTCACGCCCTCCTAGCCAGGAGAGTTAACCCTACCCCATGGAGAGGACCAGGCATGGAAGATGAAGAGAGAAGTGAGACCTCAGGCCTTCATGCAGTTCCCTGTAGGACTACTCTAATGTCAGCTGGACAGTTTATTATCCAGGAGAGGCATGATGAAAGAGAGGTGAAATTCCGTTGCACAGGAGGGAGATCTGCCCTCAAGATGAGCCCAGGACTCTCCTGCTGGGACCAGGTGAATATTCAAGTGCAGACAGAAGGAGGCAAACTCTCTGCCCCTAGGAGCCCTGCTGGCCCCTCCCAGCTGCTTTGCATGCCCCACCCATACTGCTTTCCAGAGCCATATGTGTGACTGCTTAAGGCTCTGAGAAGCCCAGTGTTAGGTTGGAGCCTAAAGGAGCCATGACAGCCCCCATTCAGCTCTTTTCCCTCCTGTTACTCTGGCTCCCAGGTGAGGGACAATAGGATTGTTCCGCATGTCTGTGAAACCTCTTTCATTGTGATTGAGTCTTTTGTCTTGGCACCTTTGTTTAGTAAGCCCAGTGAGTAAAACTCAGATGCTGCTGGGTCCTGGCTTTACTGTGGAGACTGGGATATGACCTAGACTGCACAGGTGATCTTTCTGTTCTCTTTCCATCTCAGCTACCACAGGAGAAATTGTGCTGACCCAAACTCCAGCCTCTGTGGCTTTGTCTCCAGGGGAAAGAGTCACCCTCACCTGCAGGACCAGACAGAGTGTTGAAAGCTACTTAGCCTGGTACCAGCAGAAGCCTGGGCAAGCTCCCAGACACCTCATCTATGGTGCATCTAGCAGGGCCAGTGGCATCCCAGCCCGGTTCAGTGGCAG